AAGTAAACAAGAAACAATATACAAAAAGAAATTCAATAATACAAGTTTACATAATGCTGTGTTTTTACAAAGGTGAAAATTGTAGTCATCATACCGGACGGTTTGAATGAAGTCAATAACCTAAATACATAATATAGGCTAAGCTTCACGAGCGAAATTCCGCCGCTAAAAGCAATTACTGAAAAAAGAAAAAAAAAAGAAATAGTAACAGTAAAGACTTGAAGCACGAAAAGTGAAAATGATAAGGCACACTTGCTATGAAACTTGTTTATTTAGGAGACGTTGTAACTGTATGCACAACTTTTGTTCCCCATAAGTAGCTCTGCAATGCGGAACCTCCCACATTTTTTTAAATCTGGTGTCACGTGTATGTACGTTAAGTGACAAGTAAGCGGTGCTTCTAAGGGATTAGTATTTTTTTCTAACTTCTGATTCATAGCACTTAAGGAGGATATGCTTATATAGGTTTGAAAGTGAGACCGAACGCAACTTGCAGAAAAGTGGTTCTGAATGACTATCATGTGAAGCATTCACAATGGTTCGAATGGCTTTTTTTTGTATGATGTGTAGTTTCTTCATGTCATGTGTAGTTTCCTCAGTTTCCTCAAGAAAGATAGGAGGTGTCACAAAAAGCTACTACATGTACTGAGCAGCTTGATGAGGTGGCTTCCCCTGTATCAAAAAGAATTCAGTAGCGCAGCTTCAAATTATTCGCAAGATCTGCAGACATTTACTCATGGTAGAAGAAGCACATGGCAAAAACAAAAACAAAAAAATGAGTAAGACAGAAAAAAGGTAGGAGAAAATAAATGCGTGAGACAGAGGGTCATCTAGGGCACTAAGCCGGCCTAAGCTCGCACAGTCTTAGGTTCGAAACCGTGCTGTTTCTTTTTAATAAAAATTGGACTTTCAAACTGTTAAGAAAAAGTCAGGTGAGCTACCTGAGTTGAGAGCTGCTAGGCTGTCAGGTGGTATTCTACAGTGCTAAGAAAGTGCAACAGCACACCCTACTAGAGATAGCACAGCAGCCTAGCATGCAATGACAAATTCGCTTCGAACGCAGAATCTGGATTTCCTACAGGCTATTCCACAATAGACCATATTCATACTATCAGTCAGGCAGTAGATAAATGCGCGGAATACAACCAACCCCTATACATAGCCTTTATAGATTATGAGACGGCGTTTGACTCACTCAAGACACTAGCAGTAATGCAGGGGAATCAAAACTACCGGGCAAACACTGGGAGTATCGTGAGCTGTTACATGAAGTGATAAGGGAGATGGAAAAAGAGAAGAAGGCTACTTGCTGAAAGGAAAAAAGAGAGCAAAAAAGGTGGTAGAACAGAGAAATCCGGAAATCTATCAAGAAGCAGCGTGAGGCATCACAGGAGCACATATAGACAAAAAGGGAGAAACGGCCGCAGGATAAAGTCAACGAAATCTGGGAAAGGTATTTAGAAAAAAAAAACACTGTGGAGAAATCGGTCGAGGCAAAAATTAAAGGTGAAAGTGAACGCTGCATGACAGATTCGGGAAAAGAAGAATGTCGCGCATAGAATTTTTTTTGAGCAAACTAAAAGCGCTTGGTAGGAAGTTTGTCACATTGTAGCAACACATGGTAGATGAAGGAGGAAATAAATTTAAAGGGTATGAGGTGCTAGGTTATATCCGAAAGGTAACAGAAATTTGTTTAAAAAGCTTGCCCTAGTGACCTCCTCGTGAGGTAAAAGTATGAAAAAAGTGTAATCGAGGAAGAGGTAGTACTTGAGAACTTCAATTGGAAGAAGGTCGAAGGAAAAATTTATAAGCACACTACTCCGGGCCTAATTGAGGTTCCCCCTGCCTGATTAACGAACTAGGACATAACAGCTATGAAGCACTGCTGAAATTTGTATAAAAGTGCTTACAGGAGAAGGAAATACCAGACACTTGGCGGAAAAATAGAATGAATTTAATCTATAAAGGCAAGAGAAAAAAATTTAACATTCGCTCATATTGACCGCTATTACATCTGTGCTATTCAGGTTGGCGATGCAGGAAAAAATAGAAATGAAAGCAGAGCAAAATAATATTTATTTATTTATTTAAAAATACTGCCAATCCCTTGTCGGGATTTTCGCAGAAAGGACATCAGGAAAACACACAATAAAAGCACACAATAAAAACATCCGTAAGTTATACATCGTTTAGGATACGCGTTACATTGATGCTACCAAGTTCTCACAATTTCTAACAATCAAATTCAAACAAATTCTAACCAAATTCTAACAACAAAGTTCTAACAGTAATTGTGCTATATCCAAATGATTACAGTGTGGAAAAGTCAAAATAACACAGTCTAAAACAATGGATTTTGCAAGGATGACCACAATAGCGCAATATTAGGGTTCCAAATGCAAATGTTCTTCAACAAGACGAGAAAAAATATTTAAAGAATTGCTGCTAGTAATCATAGCTGCTAAGCTGTTCCATTCCCTTATTGATGCTGGGAAGAATGAGTGTTTGAAACATTCCGTACGGAATGCGTATTCTTGTAATATTTTGGAAGAACTTCAGAATCGATTTTGAATTGACAAGTGGTTAGACAATAACCTGTTTGTTTTTGCTCAGTGTATAGAAATATCTAAAATAGGAAAGAGACCCTTATACGTAGCTTATCTGGACATCACTGGGGCCTATGACAACGTTAATCATGAAGTTTTTTGGGACATATTGAAGGAAGTGGGCATAGGTAATGACTGTATACAGATTTTGAGAAAGATATATCAAGAAATTACAGTTTGCTTAGAATAGGAAGGAATAAGTAGCAATGACAGCGCTGAAATTTACAAGGGGCTGAGACGAGGCTGTCCTTTGTCCTCCCTGTTATTCATGTTGTACGTATGGTAAAGGTGGAGAAAGTGCTGGAAGGTAGCAACAGTGTGTTTAATCACTCACACAAACAGGCTGGCACAATGGTTAAGCAGAAGCCTCGAGGTCTATTTTATGCAGACGATATTGTCCTATTTGTATACAGTCAGGACGATATACAGCGGGTGGTAGATATATGTGGAAGGGAAGGTGAGGCTCTAGGACTAGAATTTAGTGTAACAAAATGTGGATTGATGGCATTCAATGATCACAAAAACCAAGTGATCTCAGTACAGGGCCAAGAAATACCAAGGGTAAGCGAGTACAAGTACCACGGAGTATGGGTAAATGAGGGAGATAGATATATGGAGGTACGGAAAAAAACATCGGCAGCAAAGGGAAAAAGAGTGCTGCAATAATGAAGCACAGAGCGTTATGGGGGTATAATAGGTACGAAGTGCTTTGAGGTCTGTGAAAAGGCATAATGGTTCTAGGGCTTACATTTGGGAACTCAGTCGTGTGCATGAAGTCAGAGGTGCAATCAGGAATAGATGTAAATCAAAGGACTGCGGGGCGTCTCGCGTTGGGCGCTCACAGGAAGACTACGAGTTAGGCTGTAAAGGGGGATATGGGATGGACAGGCTTTGAAGTAAGAGAAGCTCAGAGAAAAATGAGATTTGAAGAGAGGCTTAGGAAAATGAAGGAGAGCAGATGGGCTGAGAAAGTGTTTAGGTATTTGTATATGAAGAGCATGGACACAAAGTGGGGAAAGAGAACTAGGAGGCCCACCAGCATATATAGGGCTGGAAGTGCAGGTGACACGGCAACAAAAAGCATTAAGCGACAAGTCCGAGAAGGGAAGAAGATTTTTTGGATGACAGTCATGGAAAAGGAACCGACTATCACTAACTACTGAAAGGGCAAAAACGAAATAAGGCTGGAGAGGTTTTAAGATAATTCAAGGGGAACCGCATTATTGTTCGAAATGAGGTCGGGTTGCCTTAGAATGCGTAGTCATAATGCAATGTTCAGTAAAGGAGAAGAACAATGTACATGCTGTGGGGGAGTTAAGGAAACGATGGAACATGTTCTGATTGAATGCGGCAATATCCACCCAGGTATATGTGTGAGTACAAGCCTACATGAGGCTTTGGGTTTCAGGGACAAACTTGGAAAGCTGAACATGTCCACAATAGAAGTAAGTAAGAGACGGTTAGAGTACTGGTGGCAGAAAAGCAGGGATAAAAGGCAGAAATAGTGGGAAAATGAGGTCATTCTGCCTGAAGGGCAGAGAGATGGAACACAAATTTATGTTTTGCTTTGTTGTAATAAGATCGATTTAATCAAAGTAGATAATGCATTAGGCCAGCATAAAAAAAAGATTTAGTTTTTTTTTTGCGAGCCTGGTGGCACCCATGTCATCGCTCCATTATGAAGAGGACGCTCATAGCATCCATCCATACGTCTGCGGTATCGCACTGCAAAGGGTGTGGCTTCACAGGACACTGCCGATTGGTTACACTTATTGAACAGTCTAGAAAAGCCACGTTGATGATTGATTGATTGATTGACTTGTGGAGTTTAACATCCCAAAACCACCGTATGATTATGAGAGACGCCGTAGTGGAGGGCTCCGGAAATTTCGACCACCTGGGGTTCTTTAACGTGCACCCAAATCTGAGCACACGGGCCTACAACATTTCCACCTCCATCGAAAATGCCGCCGCCGCAGCCGGGATTCGAACCGCGATCTGCGGGTCAGTAGCCGAGTACCTTAGCCACTAGACCACCGCGGCAGGGAGAAAAGCCACGTGGTTTGTAGTACAACACTATAACTTTATCAGAATGTTCCAGTGTATCTCCCCTGCATATAAAGTGGAGTCCTTCTCAGTTACTATTACTAGATTTTTTCTTCAGACGTGATTTTTTTCGTTTACTTGCTATTGAGTTACGGCAGGCCACCTCTGTTGCTGCCGAAATATGGCGGTACGTGCACGTCTCAAAATCCTGGTCATGTAGTAAACCTAGGAATAAGCTTTTTTTTTTATAACGGAATAAGTTTTATAGAACAGGCTTTTCTTTCTTTGTGTGTGGGCTTGCCGCAGAGCGAGGCCGCTGGTGGCTTGGGACGCATTCGCTGTGGCGCGATGGGCTCGCCGTCGGAGCATCACGCGACGGCTCACGGTGAGATGAGTAAAGACTTGCAAGTTCCAAAGTGTCTTTGGCCAAAACCTGGGGTTATTTGACTGAGCGTGCCATGTCTCTCTTTTTTTTTTCTTGGCCGCTCTGGCATCACATTATTACTGGGAGAGCGTGAGGACGCCACTTTATTTTTTTCTTTTGCAGGATTTCTAAGGAACCATTGAAAATACGTAAATCGACTGTGTTATTCTCTCCAGGCGTTTCGATTTTTTGCGGCTCAATAAGTGATGCCATCACTTTGTTCTCGTGACATCAGTATGAATAATTTTGGAAAGAACTGCGAAAAAAACAAGAAACCAGACAAGGAAGGGCACATACAGAGCGCTTTGTCCTTCTTTCTCTGGTTTCTCATTTTTTCTGGCTGTTTCCTTCCAATATGCCGTACCGACACGCCACAGGAGCCACTTTAGAGTGAATAAGCTCTCTATTAGTCGACATATGATAGATATCTGCATGTAAATTGTCTCGTACCCTGTTTGCAGTCGCATGTCTGTTTTGCCTTGTCCTGCATGACTATCATGCGCATGCAATGAACTGATTTCATTTTGTTTTCTTCGTCGGCAACTGTGCATGCGGAGATTAGAGCGTGTAGCCGAAAGGTGCGACATTCCTGACTTCCTGACTGAATGAACAGTTAGTGCTTATGTTACACATGTTTTATGACGAAATAAGTGGCGAGGATAATGTAGCGCTTGTAGGAAGGCTAGAAAGAAAGAAGTATACATTTTCGCCCTTGAACTTTGTGTGGCTTTTAGAATGAATACTTAGCTTCCAGCTCAGCTTTCTGTTATGGCTGTAAGTTGTTCATATCGACGTTGAAAAAGAGTGCCCCAACATGGTTGACTGAATCGTATCTACCAGTGGACGATACATCGCCGCCGGAGCAGGTGGTAGACGGCGTGTCGAGTCGGCCGCTGCCACTGCTAATGGCTGCCGGACTAGTGGCCGGTGCGGCACTGGGATTTACCATCCGTTACATTGATAGCCCCTGGACCAAGCGACAGATCGTCTACCTTGGGTTTCCCGGTATGCACTGTATGCCACCTATTTCCCTTCATACTCTCATTGAAATGACTAAATGAAAAAAAAAAAAAAGTGGGTCTTATTATTCTTATCTAGGCTATACTTTACGACATTTCTGACAACACTGGAATTTACAAAACTGAACCACATGACCACGCCAAAAAACACTCCTAAACTTTACTCATAATCTCATCATTGGCCTTGTTGCTTTATTAATTATGAGACTCAAAGATTTGCAAGAAGTCGTAGTAAAAAAGCAGTTATTGCAAGAATGCCTTTCTTTTCACATATAGGACATCACCATCTTTTCACTACGCCTGTTTTTGTGATGTCAACGGGATGCGCAGTGTCTCACTGTGCAGCTCGTTGACATCAGAAAATTTATTTTAAAAAATGCTCGAATTGATGACACTGCAATCTATGCACTGAACAATAGGAATGTTTCCTCTATTTGCGTTTTCGTGCATAAATTTTCTAAATGTGTTAAGCCTGTTTATTATGCCTGTTAAACAAGTTTATTATACAGCCGACAAAGAACCGGGACAAGTGTATCACGTATATTATGCTACCTGCCGTTGGTGAAACTCTGTCTTAGGTGGTTTACTGAATCATTGAAAAACTTAAGAGGCTTACTATTTAGTGCAGAAACATACAAATCTGAGTGCCAGAAAAGATGTAGACCATTCAGAAAATTCCAATGAAGAATGTGCTCGCACATACCACACGGTGACTAAAAACACGGCCGCAGCTCACCACTGAGACTTTTTACATAAACTTTTATGGTGACTCCAGCGAACAAGCACAAAAATTTAGGTATGAATTTTGCAGGTGTATATACGCTGCGTCCCAAAAATCAATCGCTGAAAGCAAGAGCAATGAATCGGAGAAACACAGGAAGTTCTGCGTAAAACACGCTCGCATTTCTTAAGCCTTCACCTAGTTGGAAAAGCTAATAGAATCATACCAGCAAACTCTTGCTTTTGCTTCTTCATGGCCAGTTATATGAGCGTGCAATAAGCATCAAACGTTAAAAAGCCAAAACAACAAAAAGTGACTGCAAACGCTGTTTATTTATTATAAAAGTCACATTACACATAGTACAATCAGGGTACAGACGCGCCAAAGCCGAGCGCCTATTGATGAAGAACCTCGCAGTACAAGGGTGCCAAAGTGAGGATACTTGGAGCAAAGCGTGGTTTTTAGCTACGACTGAAAACAGTGGTGGCATGTTTTGCGGGCAACACTGCCTGCTAGAGCAGCGGGTGCGCGCAAGAGCAGCGGTAGCAGCGGCGCATGTGAAACGAACTCGCGTTGCGTGTCCTCACGCCGCGACTGCTTCCGCCCGGTTGCTAGCATGTGAAACAGGTTTAGCAATGCGAGCGAGCGAAACCAAAATTGCCCCTATACTTGCTGGGCAACACAAATGAGCGGAAACCCTTCGCTCCGCTGTCAAGATAAGTTGTCGGTTATGTATGACGTTGTTGCTCTCAGCAGAACGCCGCACCAATTGATTCCGACGCTGCATACTTATTCCTTTATCTCCGGTATGCATGAAATTACCCACTGACCAAGGCGAATTATTGTCGAATAACACAATCTCTCGCTCCGATTTCTTTCGAAATTTTCACCAATAATGACGAAGTGGCGCCTATGCATGTAGCTTCACGCACTGGAGACAAAGCACGACCGGGAAATGGTCGGGCCAGCAAAGTCTGGTGATCTTGTAGAAAATTGAGAGCAACTTTATACTGCCACAAAACACTCATACATTACACACCCTGCCACACGAGAAACACACACCATACACAGCGCTCACTGCTGATTGTGCCGAAATGATCCATTTATATATACTTACAGTAAAATGCGCAAAAGCAATGATCAACAAAGATGCGCATGTGCAAAGCATTCAACAAGCGGTTCAAGAAGCACCACCACCCAACAAGGTAGGAAATTTTAAAAATCGGAGGGAAAAAAAAATTAAACAACAGATAAACCAGCTAAGAGCAATAAACCCTTGCTCCGAGAAAAGATATTTCGTTTTGATGTAACGCCAAGCACGGCTCCCTAACACGACTATCTTTATCTTTTTCAATAAAATATGCTTTTAACAGCAGACATACGGATTTTCTGCTTCTTCCGAGAACCTATGTGTCTGTAAACCGTAGTTCACACCCATGTGCGGCAGTATGTTTCACAAGATGTGCGTACTTATCCTCGGTTTTCTTTTCTCAACATTTAGCGCATGGTCCCTGAGCCGGTCATTTAGGCATATCTCTCGGTTTGCCCGATGTACACTTTTCCGCAGCATAATACCGGGTGTTCAAAGTTGAGCTTTACGATTTTTTAGTTATGCGCTCTAAGGCTCATGAGAGCCACTTGTGCAAATAAGTGGCCAGGGGGACAGAAAGTTAGATGATAATTATCGCTGTCAGCAGCTCAATTTGCTAAAATTTAAAAAGCAACTTTTTACTAGCTGCGGTAATGCTTTTATTGAAAAATGTAGGCAGTGGTGTTTCTACACAGTTTCAGGTGGAATATTTTTCTTAGCGTGCCTGCGCTCTGAGATATCTGGCTGAAAAGTTTGTTTTTCGCATGATTGCGCCTGCAAAAGGGAGAGGGTCAGTGCAAAGCTCCTCCCTAAAGTGACGCACCTATTGTTTGCGCTGTTTAGTGTGTGAAAAGGTTGGAAGCATAAGCATAGGAGATAACAGTTAGCCTTGCCCTCTCGGCCGTCGAAATAAAAAATCGAAGAACCCTTGCAACCAGTGTCGTAACACGCAACTGCAGAGCCTCTAACGATAGTGGCAGATACCATGCCGAGTAATGGTGCGAGCAGAGAATGGGGATGACAATGTGCATGTCTAATAATCACTAGGAAAGCGTGCGCGGTCATTGCCTGGGCTATGCGAATAACGTGACTGCTGATGTCCAAGTACTGTAACTTTTATTGAAATGAAGAGCAACAACACCACCATTAATAACCGAAATGGTTTTATCCTTGCTAATGCATATTTCCTGCAGTTACTTAAGCTTATTTCGGTCATGCGCAAATCTCATTGAAACTCTTCACCTCTCAAGACGTAAACGCCCCCAAAAGTGTTCAGAATGCCTGCCTTCGGCAGTAATGCAGCATGAACCGCTCTCGTGTCGACTCGATGACTTGGTGCACTACTTCTGCAGGAATACTCACTCGCTCAGGCAGATGTTATTTTGTCTCACTAACATCGATGGGCTCTGTTACGTAAACTCGATTTTCAACGTAGCCCCAAAGGAAAAAAAAAGTCGAGTGTAGAAAGGTCAAGAGGTCTTGGTGGCCAAAACATCGCTCCTGCATGCCCAATCCACTGTTGTGAAAAACGGCTGTCCAACCAGTTTTTCGCCCTGGTAGAAAAATGTCGTGGAGTACCATCAAGTTGAAACCATACCTGGCGCAGGTCATTCAGGGAAAGACTGCAGAAAAGGTCATCAATGACAACACCTAATATTTCTTCTGTGTACACCTTTACGTTCAGGTTGTCCTCAAAAAGTGAGGTCCGATGATATTGTCTCCGAGTATGCCGCACCACACATTTACACTCCAACGAACTTGATGCTTGTGCTGCCTCAGCTAGTGTGGTTTTTTTTGTGCCCAATAATGAGCGTTTTGAAGATTAACGCTTCCATTTCGGCAAAACCAAGCGTCATCGGTCCAAATTATTTTGTGCAAAAAGTCACTTTCTTTATCAGTTTTGAAAAAGTCAACTCGCCTTTCAAAGTCCGCCTCAATCAGGTCCTGACGAAGGTAAACGTGATAGTATGGATGGAATTTGTGCTTTCTTAGAACATTTGTGACTGTTCCGATGCTGCAACCACAGTGATCGGCAATCTGTCGGATGCTGAGCTCCGACATCGAGGTTACGCATGCAACATTTATTTCAAGTCTTCATCGACGATTGCCTTCGGGGTCCATCTTGGAAAGTGGACAGAGCCTGCTGTGCAAAAGCGTCGAAATATGTTTATGAAAGTGGGCCTTGTTGGAAGAGGACGGTGTAGGTGGAGAGGCAAGTAAAGCTTCATTGCAAGCTAGGCGTTCCCATTCATTTCAGCCATTGCAAGCACTTGGTAGAATAACTCACGGCAGAAGCAGCCATATTAGCTCAAAAGGACTCCAAGTGGATTTCCTTAATAGACCTTCAATGCAGAGACGCTGTGCTATTGGAGGCACCCTAGTACAGGATGGTCAAGCTAATGCGTTCACAAGACGACGTTCATGTGATCTAAAGTCACGAAAAAACATCGCGAAAAATGGTCTCTTGTTATCGTGTTCATCAGGATCATTCGTAAGGCTTATGGCGCACCGTGCTGTCACATTTTGATTTTGCCGGCCGAGAGAGCAAGGGTAATTGTTATCAAGTATGCCTACGCTTTCACCCCATTCACACACTAAACACTGCACGCAACAGACGCGTCACTTTAGGGACGAGCTTTGCGCGGATCCTCATAGTCTTGCATGCGTAACCATGCGAAAAACAAACTTTGGAGCCAGATATCTTGAAGCACAGGCGTGCTAGAAAAATTCTTTCAACTAGAACTGTGTACAAACACCACTGCCTACATTTCTTTTCAATATAAACATGCCAACTTACCACAGCCAGTAAAAAGATAATTATTAAAGTTTAGTTAATTGGGTTGCTGATAGCGATGGTATCAACTAACTTTCTGTCCCCTTGGCCGCTTAAGTTATTTGTACAAGTGGTTCTCACGTGCATTCGAGTGCCTAATTAAAAAAAATCATAAAGCTAAACTTTCAGCACTTGTTGTAATAGAGTATAGGACTCCCATAGAACACTTAATGAAGGCTTTCTAAGTTACTTCTGGCAACCATTGCCAGAAGTAACTTGCCATTGCAAATGCGTGGGCACAACTTGGCGAGCTTTTCTGGCGCCGAAGATACTGGAGCCACATCATGCCTTGCAGCGGCCTTCTTTATAAAAATGGAATCACTTGAGGCTTGTACCCCATAGATCCCAAGCTCCATTTCTTTGTGTTCCACGTTTCATCTTCTGCATTAGTGGCTCAACGAACATGTATATGACTGATGAAGGGAAGCACGCGGCTGATATGTGCACAGTTTTGTCAATACATATTCAAAGCAATCATAGCATATCATAGCTGAAATCAAGATGAAGAAATGGACATGGGCAGGGCATGTAGCGCGTAGACAGGATAACCGCTGGTCATTAAGGGTAACTGACTGGATTCCCAGAGAAGGTAAGCGGGTTAGGGGGAGACAGAAGGTTAGGTGGGCAGATGAGATTAAGAAGTTTGCGGGTATAAATTGGCAGCAGCAAGCACAGGACCGGGTTCACTGGCGGAACATGGGAGAGGCCTTTGTCCTGCAGTGGACGTAGTCAGGCTGATGATGATGATGATGATGATGATTCAAAGCAAAGCGAAGCGATTCTTCTTTTAAAACAATCTTAGAGTGTGCAGAATCATACGCAACAGTCTTAGAGTGTGCAGAATCATGCAACACTAGTCCCTTTTTCGCACGAAGATGGTAATACAAACAAAAGTGGTCACAGTCCCACATTAGCTTGAGGTCTAAAAACTGTACACAGGTTTCTGTGGGTACCTCGGTAGTGAATGTAACATTAACAATCTTACAATATGACAAATTACCAGCTATCCTAACAAGTTTTACTGAGTCTGGTGATCTTTGGTGGATTCCATGTCGTCCGTGATTTCCGACGCCAGCTTAGCTCTCGCCGATTAGCCCGCCGTCTGCGATCTTCCAAGGTCTTGCAGCTCTCGCCGAGTGGTGCGCCATCTTCGTACTCCTTCGACCGTGATCTTTCTTATCTCTTAGTCTCTCCCTTTTCTTAACTCTTGTAGGGTGCATGCTCCATCCGCAACATCTCTCGCTATCTACTATTTTTATCCTCTTACCCTATCTCATACAGACATTAGCTCCTTTTTTTATCAAGAACCACCAACAACATTGTGTACGCGGTACCCGCGAGGCAGAAAAATATGACACAAATTGCACATCTCTCCATGTGTATACATATTTAATATGTCATACCCTCATTTGGCTGTCTGACTAAACAGCAAAATAACTCAACATAATGAAGTCAGACGCAAAAAAAATAAAAAATTCTGGCTGTATTTTTTAGTGTACTTAGGTTTAAGTGCACGTTAGAGAACCTCAAGTGGTTAAAATTTCCGGACACCTCCACTACAGCGTCTCTTGTAATCTATCCTGCTTTTGTGACGGTAAATCCCATCTATCACTATTGAACAAAATGAAAACCCATGGGGGTCACTCATGCAATTCGCCTTAGATGACTCGAAGGCATCTTTTTCTCCTTCCCAGTAGTACAGCAGGGAGGAACACGAGCTGTGGCTTCACGTTCCCCACTAATACTGAGAAGGAACATGGCCAAGCATCGTATTTCTTCTTTCTTCTCGAAGTCGCGCTCTCTCCGTGGTTCTGTTCGGCTCCCCAAGGAAGACGCTACAAGGGTGTCGTGCGTCATATGGTGTTACATCATATGAAGTCACGCCGGAATTAGGGACGTCATGGTAATGTCACAAAAATTTGCATTCTGCGACGTCGCGATGGCTTTATATGATGACGTCATCACCTCATGTAAAGTTTTGACGCCACTTGTCGCCGATGGTCAAATGCCCATGTTTTGAGGCAGCTAAGGATTTCGCAATAGCAAATACTTAAAGGTGGTGAAAAGAAAAATAAAAGGTGGGAGTTAGACAAAAGTACCCGATCATAAATTTTAAAAATGAACAATACATGAAAATAAACGTATCTGTACAGCTGCGCGAGAAAGTGCGGATGAACAAAAGTACCCAGGATGAGTGAAATTCTGCACATCACTATCATCAATGTTTGCTGTTAAGCGTTAGCACCGTAGTTTTTGGCAATGTTATTTTTTTTCTCTTGTTTTTATTATAGGCACGTGTCAGGCTAATGTTTATTCACATTGAGCAGCTTTGGCCTTCAATATCAAGGCACATTGACACCGAACACGAAACACTCAATCGGACAAGCGAATGAAGACGAAGAAGCAGCGAAAATGCGTGGGGTGCGCGGCTGTTCTGACCGACCGTTTGTCCTTCTGCCGCTCCACCGCAAGGGCGGAGCTATTCACCAACCCGCGCAGTACGTGTCGTCCTCTTGCAGCACTAAACGATACTGCGCGTGTCTCGGGCTCCAATTTGCTGCGGTCGAAGAGGAAAACTTTGCGCAGAGAAGATTTGTTTGGGTGCAATCTTGGCAATGAACCGCAGGTTTTCCGCTGTTGCCATCAAACCGCGTCTGCTTTCCAGATCCACGCTCGGTGTGAACGTACAGTTGAAGTCTGCGCCAATTCTGTGTACTTCCCTTCGTCCATGTTTTGTTGCTTAAGCTACACTGACTGAGGTTAAGCAGCTTCGCGTGGCTTACGGTGAGCAGTTCTGGGCAAGCGCCAAGGGCACTGACGTCACACGGCTAGAGTGTACTGGAACTGTTAAGGTCTAACCCCACATATCCGTCGCAGCGCGTCAGCGTGAGGTTCTTTAGGGTGCATGGCTATGCGAAGCTGCACGCTCCCTCTGTTCATATGGGAGAGGGCTCGATGCCGCGTCAAAAAGACATGCACTGCAACGGGTACGTGGGGTCAAGCCTTTACAGGGCGCACAGCTGGCGCATTGGAGAAGGCCTGGAAGCTCTTAGAGGAACATGTGGACTGGCGCTCTACTCGCGTGAGGTCGCTCGCTCGCTAGTCCGTTCGTCTGTGTCTCCTCCAAGTCCAGCGCTCGTGTAGTCGCATTCTTGATCTGCGTTCTCGTCCTTTCTCATGTTGTAAGCTGATCAAAAAATGAGCTACCACTAGCTAGCGTAGATTTCTCTTTTTGTTTGTCCGTCCGTGTGTCCAACCATTGTTCGTCCATCCGTTCATAGCTCACGCTAGGTATACCTTGGCATAGCCGAGCTAAGCCACTGCTCATTTTTCTCGCGCAGTCCTGCGTGCAAAATTCAGGGACACTGTAAATTCCAAAGCATGTTAGGCGAATGCCTGTGTCTATTAAGACGGGGTTGGTCAGAAATTCATTAGTGGATTCATTGTGGCCGGGCTTGACGAACGCAACCAGCTATGCCCGACTGTGCCATCCCGTGATTTCTTAGTGTGAGGGGGAAAAGCCACAGCCAACACCGTTTCAGGGCATGATTGTATGGTTGTTTTGGTTGAAATGCAGGCGAGCTGTTTCTGCGCATGATGTCCGGCGTGACGCTACCGCTGATTAGCACCAGCGTGGTGGCCGCGCTGGGAAGCTGTCGGCCGCCCGTGCTCGGACGCGTGGGCCTGTGCGCGTTGACCCTGTCCTTGGCTTGCAAGTTCCTGGCCACAGCCGGTGCGCTAGGCCTCGTGGCCTTCCTCTCGCCAGGAAACACTGTGCGGCTGGACGTCGTCGAGACACCCAAGCCAAGCTCGAGTCTCTCCAACGTCGCCATTGACAGGCTGCTGGACTTGATCAGGCACGAGTGGTTTTAACGCAATAGTGTTAGAGAGCTCGTGTCGCAGAAATTTTACCCTCGGCGTCAGTCCCATTGGTTGCGAGCGAAAAATCGTTCGTGAGCGAAAAAGCTCGTTACAGAGATCGCCGTGGGAGGCTGCTACTTGTCCACGCGTGTGCGTGTGATCACGATGAAAAAGCTGCACATTCGCAGAAAAAAAGAAGAAAAATTGGCCCAAATCTACATGTTACACTGTAAATGTCGTCGAAAGAGGACATTATTGCGTCTGGAGAGAGTGAACACAACGTTTATTTGATGTTCTGCGCAAGAAAATCGGTGAATGGTATTCTGAAGGCACTAAGTTAAGACTGCCTCCAGCTTGTAACGGAGGCGAACAAGCGCATCTAGGCATGCTAGACACGAGCGCCATCTGGCAGTTATCTTCGAAAACGAAGGCATGTGCGACCGCGGAGAAGGATGCGCGCCAGTCACGGAGGTGATAAGGTGTAGAATGAAAAGCGACGGGCAGGTGCCACCACCGTGCTGTCGTAGCAAAGCGTTGGAAACACCTTCTTGAGCATCGCGTTGCACTATCAGTGCAGTGCGTTAAACGCTACAGTCCTTAGAGTTATTTGTGTGGGCCTCTTCTAGTATAAAGGCAGACATACAAAACATAGACATGTCGTTATGGCACCTCAGATATGCGCAATATTTGCTTTTTTTTTGACAACCGCGAAACTATGAACGCTAAACCTTGAGCTATATTGGTGGGCGCTGTGGATGGGGTTGGCCGTTTGATGCCGCTTGAGGCATCGTTAGTGCAGACAAACAGACAAATGTACAGACATACAGATCAAAATTTTTACGTCCAAGGTCCCCAAGAAAGACTATCGTTTTTAAAACACCCTCAAGGTCACGAGGCATGGGTGATGTAGTTTCTTTGTCCCTGCCACCCCTAGCCCTGCTTAGCTTCCAGCGCTTTCGTCGGGACGAGAAAAGAAAGAAGGCAATTGCAGCATGCAACTAACTTTTGTAACTCCACTCACACTGAATGGATTTTAAAAATTTTTGTGGCATTTAATTCTTGAGGCAATAAGCTCTTCTAGTGAATCCATTTCATGGTTACTTGAAAAAGTGTTTCAGGGCCCCTTTAACGCATTTTGTTTGACAGGTGTCACGACAAAAACAAGCCCATTCCGCAATTCGTAGGCGCATTTGAAACGCCTCACACTATGTTGAAAAAGGTCAGGATAGTGCAGCTATCGCCGCTAAAAACGCACAGGAACTTTCAAACAGTTCTAAAAATGGACAACTATGTCCATCTAGCAGAAAACATATCATGTCTTTCCAGAGGTGTTGATCAAACAAATGGCAAACGCTAAATAATGTGCTGCTATCTGTGAGGCATTGTCAGACTCTTTATGGCCTTTGAGATAGAAAGTGCGAGGCGTGTATCTTGGAGGCCATGCGACTCTTGCTTTAGATCGAAAACCTGTATGTACCATTCGCGCGTGCATGCTGGTACAATCTACTGTGGGCGTGTGTGTGTGTGCATGTGTGTGTGTATGTAACAAAGCATGTTAACAAGTATGCACTTAGCAGTTGAAGGGCGCACTAGGGGGTCGGATTTTGCTATCGCGTTCAACTTTTAGAGACGAAGCTTAAGGGTCCCCCAATTTTTCATTTAGTTTGTCCTGCAGACCGCTATACCCAGGACTGGGCAGTATCGAAGATACATGTAACACTATCTTAGATGTGCTATTTGGGTATCCTGTGTCTGCATCCTGACACATCTCGGAAGACTAATATCTGTATCTTTATTTGCGATACGTTTGAAAATGTATCAGGTATCTTATGGTACAAGATATTGCAATCACAACACCCCCGTGCTAAACAGTTGTGGCTGACTTTGATTATCAAGCTTATCCATTCTGCCACCTGAATGAAACCAAGGGCAGAGATGTAATTTGATCTTGCTGTCATGGGCGGTGCGCCTCCCTTCTGATGAGGAAAAGTAACATGACTGCATGCTTTCACACACTCTCGACAAAAATGTGCCTGTGATTTTCCAGTTTTAGGTGTGTTGTTGCCTTTAGCCACTCAAGAGCGCCACGTACCACAATACATGTGGCGATGATCGTACACATTATGATGCCGCTCTCATACGTCGTACTTCGGTACAAAACTTGCAGCGCAGGGTTTCTTTGCATCTCGTGGCTGTTTCACACATCAGTGTTTCGAAGCATCTTGTGGATTTAACTTTGAATTACATGCGACTGACTTATGCACAAGTAAGATTTTAGCTATAGCAGCGGCATTGCCGATGTCAGATTTAATGAAAGAATCATTTACCTATCAGACGATATCACTCGCCACGGTGGTATTGACCTACTGGTCGCGGAATTGAATCCTTGCCGTGGTGGCGGCATTTTTGATGCAGGCGAAAATGCTTGAGGCCTGTGTGCTTAGTTTTAGCAACTGCCTCTGGCAACTCCCTCCTACCATGGGAGTAAATCTGAAATGTACTCCTTGAAAACACCCTCTATGACAAATCCCTTCCACAAAGTTAATGGAAGCAATGAGTTTCACGCCCTTTCACTGGCAAGTAGGGCGAGTAGTGAGGACACCCCGAACTACCCAGAGTACTGAGCAACAAGCTTGAAAACATTGGAGAGGCTTTGCAGCTGTCGTTGACACATTGCGCTCTGGAAGCTGACATATTATTCTTTTATGCCTGCCACTACCTTTAACATTAAATCAAAGCTTGAGGTTGAAGCTGACATGTGCCTCGGTGAAGGTAAACTTCCTCTGCAAATACCATGTTGAGAAACACAAATACAATCACCAAACTACAATCATAATTTACAAAGTAGAGTGAATACCATTACGATATCGCTATTACTCAGTGTCCCTATAAGGATACAGTTAGGCTGAAAACCTGCAGGCAGGCAGGCCTGCCTGCCTGCCTGCCTGACTGCTTGCCTGCTGGCCTGCTTGCCTGCTTGCCTGCTCTCCCGTACGCCCGCCCGCCTGCCATGCCCTGTCCTGCCATGCCCTGCCCTGCCCTGCCATGCCCTGCCCTGCCCTGCCCTGCCATGCCCTGCCCTGCCCTGCCATGCCCTGCCATGCCCTGCCATGTCCTGCCATGCCCTGCCCTGCCCTGCCCTGCCCTGCCCTGCCCTGCCCTGCCCTGCCTGCCTGCCTGCCTGCTTGCCTGCCTGCCTGCCTGCCTTGCCTGCCCGGCCTGCCCTGCCTACCATGTAGCTCCGAAATCTTAAAGACCTGACACTGCATGCACGGTTCTATGAGCATGCAGAAAAGTTGTTCGTGCTGACGAGCATGAGATCATTACGTCATGGGAAGGCAGCGCCACTGTAATGCATACTACTAATGCAGGCCTATATGTAAATTTTTATGGAGTAATAGTCTTCACTATAAAAAGCAAACAATATTTCAAAACTAACAATAAAACTGTTGGCCGTGTACACTAACCTACAGTCACATGACAGGGTACATCGAATGATTTAAGTTTCTGCCACCAGGTGGCACTGCAAGCTATTTCTACGATTTTTAATGAAGAAATAAAAATCAAAGACCACTTTTCACGAGAAAAACAGGGTTAGTTTGAGTCACTATGAGGAACAATTTTTCTATCTGTGCAGTCATGTCAATTCATGTTCTGGCAGTTAGTTGTCTGTCATTTCAAGCTAGCAAACAATCGTGCATGCATGGTGGCGCCTGTGCAGTACATAAAAAATGTGTGTTTTTAAGGAAGTAAACTTTTGTTGTTAGTTTGTGCCCTGTCAACTTTCGTTTTAGTTTTTGTCCTCTTTCCGTAATTCAACAATTACAAACACTTGGGAGCACTATTACTTTACCTGACGTAGGAAATTTTGAGTGTTCACAATATTGTGAAAGGGGCACTCATCTTCTTTCTTTACTGTTGCAGGAACCTTTTCCCGTCGAATATTGTAGCAGCGCACATATACACGGCAAGTTACTGAAATTTCAATCCTACATTAGTACTGGTGATTTTTGCTGCCATGAATATTGATTCTTAATGCATGACATTGTCAGGTTTTTTTTTTTTTATGAAAAACGATGTGACATCATCACTGCTCTTGCACAATATTGAGTGATGAAAGTGCTGCTCCAGTTGCTCCGAACTACATCAAAAGGGCAATGCTGCTTCATGCTGCTTGTTGAGGAAAAAACGAGCCACTGTCCCCATGGCCGTGATGATGATGATGATGGTTATGATGATGATGATGGCCTAAAAGCATGGCTCACACCGACTCTGCGGGATGGGCCAAGAAACAACTAATTAGATAAAGTATATTACATGTTACTTTTAAATCGAATGAATCATCAAATGGTTAGAAGAAATCAAATTTCACTAACTGAAAGATTTGTAATCAAGAACCCTGTGATTCGATTAAGAATCTTTCTATAGCAGAAGAGACATCCTGGGGACAATGACCTATTGAGAGGGCTCCCAAGGAAAGAATATTAAAAATAATGAAATCCAATCTGATTCGATTAAAAGCCGCTTTAAGAATGCTTTTCTTCAGTGACTTGAAGCTGCTACACAATAAAAAATATTGCTCGATTGTTTCATTCTTGTTACAGAATAAGCAAAAAGGGGAAGGGGCCGTACCAGCTCTATGCATGTAGTAATTTAGTTTTGGAACTGTACAGCGTAATTTCGTAAAAACAATCTACTGTCGACCTCTTCTTTATTCCTTGTTCTGATCTGATCTTATCCTAATGATGGTATTGTCACTCATCTTGTTATTCTGTCAATCTTGTTATTAACTGCTCCTAAATGTCACTAGACATTTGAGAACAATGAGCATTAACCGTGTGACCATCCAGCGAGCCATCAAATCATCCTATCACATCAAATTGTCCCATCAAATAATCGAACCTGTTGCATCATTGTGATACAGATAATCAATCTAAGAAAGCTGCGGGCTGAATTGTTACCTTTTTATACAGTTATAGGAGTAAGATTCAAGCGCGTTAAATGATGTAGCC